AATTACTGTTGAAACGTTGACTGATAGTTTTATGAATGGAATTAAAGGCTTGTGACCGACGTTGCAACTACTTATAAAGGTTTGGGACTTCGATCGCAAAAATAAAAGGTTTGAGTGTAATCTGCAACAAAATGAAAAGTTTGAAACCACGGCCGCAATTTTCCCTACATTTTATTGGACCAACCAACTTATAATTTCAAAAAGCTTCCTTAAAAATGGGCAAAATTTGCTAGGATTTAATAATTCATCGCAATTACCTTCCAATAGTAATGTTATGTGGCACCTTGGGTGCTTACCATCAGTTTAAGTGACAACGGACTCCATTGCTCATTGTCTTATATAGTTGGCATGCATTTGATTCATTTGACAATAAATAATTAGTGAAGTCCATTGTTACCTATACTAATGCCAAGTAACAAAGTGCTACAAAACATTATTACATACCCAACTATATATATCCATCAACCCGATATTTTTACTGTTGGATTGTCAACTCAATCCCATACAAATTCAATTGTTCTATTAATCTTTGATTTTATTTTGTAATGACATTAGTGTATCTAGATTTGCGACCTGCCTTTCAACAATCCATTTGAAGGCTTTAGCAAGAGATTTTTTTCGGTTGCTAAAGCTCATTTTCAAGTGACACATTCTTTTCTAGGTAAAGAAGTTTGTAAATTGTTCAGTATTTGTTTGACACAGCTTATTTGATAATTATTATTTTTTTCAAACTAATTTGCAACCACACATTTTTTTAAAAAAAAAATTCCGTTCAAATAATCTATCTCAAATAAACACTAAATATAAAATGATTTTTGTATTCTTTGAGACTTGTAAAGAGAACGTCTACCTTTCGGGGACCTCAATAATTTTGGATTTTATTGTGTGACAAGTATCGCTAAATTTGTGGTCCGACTTTCAAGAACCGATTTGAGGGCTTTAGCAAGGGAATTTTTGAATTGTCATCCTATTTTCTAGATAAAGAAGTTCGTACATTCCTACGTATAGAATGGTCTTTGTATTCTTCAAAAATCCAAAACGAGGTGTCACTTTTTGGGGCCTCAATAATCTTGGATTGTGAAGTAAGATCCAGCTGTATGTACTCTTCGAAAACGTGTAAAGAAAGTGTTCATCTTTCGGGGACCTCTTTAAGCAAGTTACATTGGAAATGTGGATATGAAAGATTTCGATGATAGATGTTCCTATAATAATTTAGGTAGGTAAGCAAGAAAGAAAGAATCAAGAATGTGATATTGGGGGTAGGGTAGGGTGGGGGTGGGGTGGAGTGGGGGATGGAGACTGGGCAAGGGCACAGCTAGGGTTGGGGATGTTTTTCTTCTCTTGAAGATGTGACTTGTCTTTTAGTCACAACCATGTATTGAGTAGTGATGTTGATGAGTGCAATATGATTGATGCTTATGTGTCGTGCAGAGGAAATTTTGACACGACATGGTCTAGAATAATGCTTAGATAAAACTTATTACGACAAAAAAGTATGCACATAGTTGTGCAAACTAGTTTGTATACATGAGTAATGGAAAATTACACTTCGTTCTTGATTCTGTTTCTTTTACTTTAAAACGTTAATGCTAACTTTGTTTAATTTTTGGGGATCCTAACCGATTCTCAATGACCAAATCTATCTAAAAATTATATTAACAACTTCTTCTATAATGTGACACCAACACGCGTAATAGAACGCAGCTCAACCATTAGATGTTCAACTCGATGATAGTAATACTCTACAGCTATGTCAAGATGGTAGGCTGTCGAGCATATTGGCGATTGAATTAAAAGTATTTTGCCTATTCTGCTGTTTAGGTCTAATCCTCAACAATGTTTCTGAATTCAAACCCCGAAAACAATGAATCAATTATAATTTATTAAGATTTATTAGGAGAAATAGTTCAAACCTTTATATATTTACTAATCGATGTGAAATTTCACCTATGCATATCTACGAATGGTCAAATGCTTGAGCTTCATTCAAGAATATTTGGCTTATATTATATACAATTTCTTGCAAACAATTTTTGGCAATGTTAGTGTCATCGCTTGCTGTAATATGTTCCCTCTAACAACCAACCCCATTTAATGTTGTGGGAGGATGGGTGGGGTGTTGTGGTAATGAAACGTGTCATGCATGGTTCTAAGATGGTAAATCTAATTAATGAGTAATGTTATTTAGTGCATGTTTGACATTTATTAATTTATTTTATGGTTTGTTATATGACCATTTTCAACCACACATTCACACAACAAAATATTCTACACGTATACCAAAAACTTTTCTCTATCTTTTAACTACACATTCTCCTAAAAATTATTATTCAAAACACTTTTTTTCGACAATAATGATTGTCAAAC